TCCTTTTAGCAAATCAAATGGCAATTGAGAAGCTATTTGACAGCTGATTAGTTGATTTTTACAATTACAGGTGTTTCAGAAACTGGTCTTCATTCTGATATTAAAGCTTTGGCTCATTTGAAACAAATGCTTAATCTCTCAAATCAAAAAAGTAACATACTACAATCTCTTATAGAAGCCGGCTACTGTGCTACACATATACTATCGTGGCCTTTTTTTAACCAATAAATTTAATAAAACCATGGAATTGATTAACACTCAAAGCGTTCATCCACTTAACTTGATTAAAAATAAAATTGCTATCTAATTTCATTCCACCCTGATAATATTCCGGCGAAGGCTCAAGAATTATGGTTGGGGCCACACCTCGCTAAATTTCCTAATATTGCTAAAAGAACGAGAATCATTATTTTCCTTTTGCTTTATGCCTTCCTGAATTATTTCCAGACATGCAATGCTACTGAAATTCAAGACGTCGCGCTTGGCTTCTATATTTAATTTTATGCCTGTGGAGTTATTTTAGTTTAAATTAATATTTTAATTTTAAGTATTGATACATCGAGGGCAAGCTACATTTGTACTTATTTGAATATCGAATGTGTTCCGTCGATAGCGATACACCGGACATTAGCCAAACCCTGAAGCAATTTCCGACTGCCCGGTACTCGACTAGATCTCAATATTGTGAGGATAGTGACACACTTATAGCAAAGTATTTTTTTTGGATCATATGGGACCCATCTGCCTCTCTTCCTCTTAATTTTTACGGTGGTAGAGCCATGCAGCAGCCTCGGCTGATGCACGAATGGGCAAGCTCGTCCAGGACCTCACAGAAGATCGGCGTAAAGTGGAAGTATAATACTTTCGCGTTTCGTCTGGTGAGTGAGGTGGCCGGAGCCCAATTTTCAAAAGGTTGTCAACACATCTGCAACCCTCGGGTTTAGCAGATATCCATGGGCGGCGGTATTCACTTAACATCAGGTGAACCGTCTGCTCGCTTGGCAACTTTACACATAAAAAAAATTGACGTGAGTATTCCAAATATATTGAAAAGAAACAAATTTGTCAAAATGGGACTCGGCGGACGCTACCTATTTTATAAGATGTTTAATTTAATTTGATGTTATATTTTTGTGATTTCTTCTTACTTGGTTAAATTCAATAGACTACATTAAAGTATTTTTTCGACAAACGTAACCTACCTTAAGTAAATTATAATTTAATCGATTTCAAAAACAACAGGGTATCATATACAGGTTCATGTAACTATTTGATTTTCGTGATAGGAGATCATTTGGTGTATCATAAGTTTTCCAGAACTATAAACAATTTTTATTAATGAATGATCTCACAGGCTCTTTAATATTCTCGAACAACAACTTCACGGATAAGTCGTACTGCTCAAGAAAATAAGGTTCTGAGAATGTTTGAAATTTATACTAGTTATTTTTTTATTTATAGAGAATTTGTTTAATGATACAGCAGACTGGTCTGTTTTTAGTTAAATTAATTTTCTACTTACACACGAAAAACAAACGCCTAAACGAGTTTTTGAAATGCTCATATTTTCAACTTGAAAATTTTATTGTGAAATGAAATTCCTTTCTTTCTTCTATTCGCAGTATCCAATACGAGGCGGTGAAGTTTAATCGAAGTTCGCGTCCTTTACCTGCTATTTGAACGAGGGACAGCCGGGGCTACTAGAGGCAAATCGAGGCAAACTTTTAATGCTTCTCAATTCCGAAAAGATTTAAACTAACTTGGGGGCGTGGACAATTTCCCAAGTTTAAATATTCCCCCCAAGTTTGCTACTTGACTTTTCTAATTCTTTTTCAAAATAATATAGGGTAATAAGTCACAATGTAACATTTTTTATGATAAAAATGTTATGAAAATATATTTTGATAATTTCTGTTAATAATTGACTATAATAATATGTTGGAAATAAGGAAAAAATAAATAATTAAATATTTATGATTTAAAAAATTTTAAATATAAATAATTTTAATTCTATTTTACTCAAACATTTGTAAAATAATGTTGAGCATTGGCAAAATATATTAAAACTAAAGACTTGTTAAAAATAAAAATTATCTTTGTATATATATAAGTCTGTACGTGTGTATGTCCCTGAACTCCTCCTAAACGGCTTTAATTTTTTTTTTTTGTGTGTGTTCAGGTAGATTCGAGAATAGTTAAAATTAACAATTTTAAGTTATCGGATTGAAATCACGTATACATGAGAAATAACAGGGACAAGAAGCAGCCGGAGATATAGGAATGTATTTTCCGACGGGTAATTACATTCCTCGTTCATGTCAAAGTCTAATCGTTCGGAACAAAAAATAAATATAATTAATCACATATTGGCATTAATTTCCTACCTGTCGGAAGCAGACTGTGCGAAAATATATTTTTCGCGAAATTTCTATATAAGTGGTGGTACCCTACATAGAATACATAAATATTTTTCTTTCTTTACTTAGTAACTTTTGTATTCGATCATAAGAAGTTATTTGTATTTTCACTGTTAAAAATATATCAATCGAATTGAGAACCTCCACCTTTTGAAGACGGTTAAAAATATATTCAGTATTAGCATGTTTTTTATTTTTTTTTAACTATTATTTTTTTGCCGTATATGATGCACCTATGCAAAATATACAACGTGTCGTTACCATCGCGACAATAAATGAACATACGTCTAGCGCTACTTGTCAATAATCATAAAAAAATATTAACGTTAAACAAAATCCATAATTAAAAAAAATATTTTTCATACAAACTAATTAAGTAAAAAAGAAACAAAATTTGTAACAGCCTATACAACTCGCGCCACAGCGTCGTATTACAAGCATCTCCTTCTAACAGTATGTTTTGTCTCTTTTAAATTCATTCAACCCATTCATATGCTTTGTGACCTTTACAAATGAACTTTACGTTACAATTTTATACGTAAGGGTGTTCTAAAATTCTTTGTTTTGGAAAATTTAATAACTCTGTAAATATTTATTTTTAAAGAATGTAAATGTTTAATACAATTTTAAAAAGTTTTCTCCTATATGTGTGTTCATTTATTGTCGCGATTGTAAAGACACGCTGTATATTTATCTTATGAATATAATTCTATAAAGTACTATATAAGATTGTCAATCTTTTATAGTACTTTATAGAATTATTGTATTATTAATTATAGTTGCATATATATTACTACGGATATATTTTTTAACTTAATTTCGCTAATTTCAGGGTCTATTATTCCCGGTGTAAATTATGCGGAATGGACTTTGGAAAAAAGTTCGGTCTTTTATATAATTGGCAATAAGTAACACATACAACTTATTATATAACGCACTGATAAAATAATTCTATTGACAAAATAAATTTTAAAACAAAATTAATTGCGTATATTATAACCATAGATTATTTTTTTTATGTCAACTTCCGTGTTTGTTAGCAGTCAAAATGATACGAAAAGGAAAGCGTTGTGAATGATTTTTTTAGAATGTTCTAGGATATTAAACTTATTAAAAGTTATAATGATAAGTAAATATAATAAATATTAATAAAAACATACCACTCAATTCCGAATAAGAGAAAAAACGTCATGCTAAATCAACTCAGCAAATTTGAGGCACCCACACGCAATCACATGAGCCTCGGGCTGTATCCAATATCTGATAAAACAATAAAATTGGCAAAGACACATGCCATCATCATGCCCGCCAATATTTTTGATATTTGCGGATATCGTAACCCTAATATTATCTATATCACGATTTGAAATTTTCTTTATAATTAAATCATATTAAACTCGAGCAACCTGAGTTCGATCCCTGGTGCCAGCACCAATGAAATTGTCAATTTTAAGTGCTGAATTATCACGTGCTCAGCTGTGAAGGAAAACATCGTGAGTGAACCAGCATATTTTCGGAATAATAACAAAAAAAATATTTCGAAGATATCTGAAGTCCGCCAATCCACAGTGAGGCTGCGTAGTGGACTCTGCCCTGATACCCTCTGTACAGAGGAGGCCTTTGCCTAGCAGTGGGACATGTATAGGCTGATCCATGATTAAATCATATTCGAGAAAACACTGTATTACAGTTGTAAAATAAAGCTATTGTAAAGGTAGCTATTAGCTAAGTTTTAAACCAACAGTTTTATAATTTAAACACTTTAATATCTAGGACGAACTGAGGTCATAATGACCTTTGCCAGATTATTATCAGTTTTTCAGAGAATCGGTGTTATATCATAAATAATATTTAATTATTAAAATATGTTATTTTAGTCGAAATATTAATTATTATTTGTTTTATTTTTACATACTACACTTTATAGATGGTAAATACTGACTACGTATAATTTGTTGTCCAATATGGAATTACCACCTTAAATGGTATATATTGACGAAATATATGTATGTACATGTCATCTGAAATGTCATGTATGTAACATTTCGACAAGTTATATGCAGAAATAAAAAAAACATGTAGCATACATTTGTGAGTGTACTCCTTTAGCGTAGCAATATAAAAATAAATAAAAATTGTATTCCCCGTGTCAGTGCTCTTTGTTTGTGAAAAAACATCTTAAATAATTTCGTCTAATTCTCAAGCAAAATTTGACAATTTTATTAGCATTGTTTCCGTTATCCGCGGAAGAAAATTTATAGTGTTTAGTAAATTTCAAGACCTAAGAATTTTTTTCATAAACTCTATAATAACACACATACCTTACACAAACAGTTAACGCAAAGATCGAAGATTAACTAAGTGACGATTGAAAGTATCTTCTTCGATTTTCGTAAAGTAAATCTATTTCATTTAATTATTAGAAATTATTCCGCATATTCAAATACTAACGGCCACGTGGTGATTGCTCGTGTGAGACTACACTATACGGAACATATTAAAGCTACGTATTTGTCAACGCGCGAAATACTGGGCCAATGATTGATGCCGGTTAGTTAATTAATCTTGCTCAAGCCTATTTCACCGTGTCGTGCCTTGATTGCCTCCCTCTTCTATAATAGGATTTATTCCTGAAACCAATAAAGCATGTGGTTTATAGAATGTGCTAAATTAAATTAAGTATAAATAGTATTTAAGCAAAAATGAAGTGAAGCATTTTATTTATATGGAATGTTATTAAAAATGAAATACATCCTTTCAATTCTAAGAACAATATAGAGAAAATAATAATAAATAACAATACCTTCACGGAACCTGTGATAATAGCCTCTGCCTTTAATAGTTATTATATTGATTCAACCCAGAAACCATCCACGATAAGCAAAAATTCTTACACTTCAAGTATGAACTCAATGTTTCCGAATATAAACCCATGACTGAACATGAAGTAACTAAGGAGATAATGTCATTAAAAAGTACCAGTTTTGAAGGTTGTGATGAAATTAACACATGTATAATAAAAAAATGCGATAACGAATTGAGTAATTTTGTCACATATTTAATTAATTTATCATTTTCATGTGGAATCTTTCCAGATGCACTGAAATTATCCATTATTAAGCCGATGATTTAAAATGGAGACAGATATGATATTAGCGACTATCGCCCGATAACTTTAGTACCTATTATGGCCAAAGTATACGAAAAGTGCATGAATAAAAGACTAATGGATTTCTGCACTAAATATCATATCATTAGCGATGAACAATATGGCTTCCAAAAAGATAAATCGACGGCACTGGCTATCTTTTCTCTTATGAAAATAATAATATCCAATATAAATAATTATCATCTTAAAATATGTAGAAAAAGTGCGAAAAGATTGTCGCCGTTGTGGGAATCGACCCCACGTCTTCGGCATTTGCGGCCTGACGCTCTAGCCACTGAGCTAAACGGCTGATTTCCACACCGACGAAAATCTTAACGTATTCTTCTACATTGTTTTCTTAGCATTTGAAGCAATGCTTGGCGCCATCTATTGTTATATCCTTTCCAGCATACAAACAATTTCGAATATCGTTTTACAACGATAATTCGAACGAGAGATGTCGCCATTGCTTTTTTAGAAATTTAAATTGTTTATAGTGCTAATCTTTGCACTTAAGATTGAACATTAAAATATGTAGAAAAAGTGCGAAAAGATTGTCGCCGTCGTGGGAATCGAACCCACGTCTTCGGCATTCGCGGCCTGACGCTCTAGCCACTGAGCTAAACGGCTGATTGCCACACCTACGAAAATCTTAACGTATTCTTCTACATTGTTTTCTTAGCATTTGAAGCAATGCTTGGCGCCATCTATTGTTATATCCTTTCCAGCATACAAATAATTTCGAATATCGTTTTACAACGATAATTCGAACGAGAGATGTCGCCATTGCTTTTTTAGAAATTTAAATTGTTTATAGTGCTAATCTTTGCACTTAAGATTGAACATTAAAATATGTAGAAAAAAGTGCGAAAAGATTGTCGCCTTTGTGGGAATCGAACCCACGTCTTCGGCATTCGCGGCCTGACGCTCTAGCCACTGAGCTAAACGGCTGATTGCCACACCGACGAAAATCTTAACGTATTCTTCTACATTGTTTTCTTAGCATTTGAAGCAATGCTTGGCGCCATCTATTGTTATATCCTTTCCAGCATACAAATAATTTCGAATATCGTTTTACAACGATAATTCGAACGAGAGATGTCGCCATTGCTTTTTTAGAAATTTAAATTGTTTATAGTGCTAATCTTTGCACTTAAGATTGAACATTAAAATATGTAGAAAAAAGTGCGAAAAGATTGTCGCCTTTGTGGGAATCGAACCCACGTCTTCGGCATTCGCGGCCTGACGCTCTAGCCACTGAGCTAAACGGCTGATTGCCACACCGACGAAAATCTTAACGTATTCTTCTACATTGTTTTCTTAGCATTTGATGCAATGCTTGGCGCCATCTATTGTTATATCCTTTCCAGCATACAAACACTTTCGAATATCGTTTTACAACGATAATTCGAACGAGAGAAGTCGCCATTGCTTTTTTAGAAATTTAAATTGTTTATAGTGCTAATCTTTGCACTTAAGATTGAACATTAAAATATGTAGAAAAAAGTGCGAAAAGATTGTCGCCTTTGTGGGAATCGAACCCACGTCTTCGGCATTCGCGGCCTGACGCTCTAGCCACTGAGCTAAACGGCTGATTGCCACACCGACGAAAATCTTAACGTATTCTTCTACATTGTTTTCTTAGCATTTGATGCAATGCTTGGCGCCATCTATTGTTATATCCTTTCCAGCATACAAACACTTTCGAATATCGTTTTACAACGATAATTCGAACGAGAGAAGTCGCCATTGCTTTTTTAGAAATTTAAATTGTTTATAGTGCTAATCTTTGCACTTAAGATTGAACATTAAAATATGTAGAAAAAATGCGAAAAGATTGTCGCCGTTGTGGGAATCGAACCCAAGTCTTCGGCATTCGCGGCCTGACGCTCTAGCCACTGAGCTAAACGGCTGATTGCCGTTTAGCTCAGTGACAATTATCATCCTACTACGGGGCTATTTCTCGATCTATCAAAAGCATTTGATCTGGTTTCTCATGATCTTTTGCTGCAAAAGTTAGAAAAAGTTGGCATTAGGGGACCAGCGCTGCAGTGGATATCATCTAATCTCAGTAACAGGAAACAACGCTTCACAATCATGAAAATAGACATAGAAAACAACATTACACCTTACTCATCTGAATATGAACATAATAAACAAGGCGTATCCCAAGGAAGTGTACTTGGACCCACATTATTCGTATTGTACATAAATTATATTATTAATGTTACTCATCATTAATGTATATTATTTGCTGATGATATTTCAATTATTGCTGGCTTAGTTTCATTATTGCTTGGCTAAATGCAAATAATCTAAATATTAACTTAAATAAATCAGTATACATACAATTTAATAATTATAATAACAGTAAATATAACGCTAAACTAAATATAACAAAAATAAAGGCAGTTCCATATACAAAATTTTTAGGTGTAACTATAGACGAAGATATAAATTGGAAACTACACATAAACGATATATCTGTTAAAATAAATAAATTTGTTTATGCTCTTAAACAAATCAAAAATATTGCAAACTTGAAAACAGCTATTTTGTCCTACCGCGCATATATTGAGTCAATACTTGGCTATGATATCGTAATATGGGGTAATAGCACCGACAAAAAAGAGCATTTATAGCGCAAAAGAAATGTATCAGAGCAATATATGAATTTAAAGTTACTGACTCATATCAGCCAATTTCAAAACTTAGATTGTTGACATTACCATCTCTTTATATATATATGAAGTAGGCATGTTTGTTTGGACTTGGAAGCACAAGAAATTATTTAACACAGAGGATGATATTTACATATATATATATATATATATATATATATATATAGAACCACCGGGACCCATACAGACTTGTACTGAGTGATAACCCTAAATTGAGAAAATATAGTAGAAGCTGTCTTTTTATGTGTGTGCAGATATACAGCGTGTCGTTACCATCGCGACAATACATGAACACACGTCTAACGCTACTTGCCAATAATCATAAAAATTAACGTTAAACAAAATCTATAATTTAAAAAAAATATTTTTCAAACAAACTAATTAAGTAAAAAGGAAACAAAATTTGTCACATCCTAAACAACTCGCGCAGCGTCCCATTACAAGCCTCTCCTTCTAACAGTATGTTTTGTCTCTCTTAAATTCATTCAACCCATTCATATGCTTTGTGACATTTACAAATGAACTTTACGTTACAGTTTTATACGTAAGGGTGTTCTACAATTCTTTGTTTTGGAAAATTTAATAACTCTGTAAATATTGATGTTTAAGGAATGTGAATGTTTAATACAATTTTAAAAAGTTATCCCCTATATATGTGTTCATTAATTGTCGCGATTGTAAAGACATGCTGTATAACAAGATACCTAAGGAACTTAAAATATTAAATACTAGGCAATTTAAAATAAAATTTTACAATTGGTTAATCGAGAATAGGTTCTACAATGTTAATAATTTTATGTCCAAGAAATCTTAAAATATTACAAATTTTAAATTTTTTCTATTTGCATGCTTCATTGTCGCGGCAAGACATGTTGTGCTATAGCTATGTTTGTAATATCTCTATACCATGTGTAACGAATGCCATCAAATAATCCATTAATTTCTAAAAATACTGATAATAAATATAATTATGTATTACGCGTTCTTTGTGGTTACATGATGTGTCAAAGCAGCTGTGTATGCAATATTTCTACAGAAGTTTGCTTCTTTATTCTATCTAGGTGGAATCTACACAACATGGGCATCATTTACCTGTGGTTCTTTTTAATTAATGTATATTTTGAATAAATTTTGCATATTCGATTAGGAATAAAGTTTTTTACCCTCTGCCTATTGTTTCTAATGGAATATGGCTTTATCGCAATTAAGAAAGAGAGTCGCACATATTTTTCTCAAAAAACAGTTCTCAACACTTTCGGTTTGGAAGGAAATATCACATTATTATTATTATTTAATTTCAAAGATTGATCTATTTGCCATTCTCTTAGGGTCCTTACGTTTGTCCCTGGCACAACATTGTTATCTTCATACTTTGCTTTGTATAGTTCATGAAGAAACGTCTTCAGTTGCTCCCGTATATATTCCACAGGTACTTTGGATATAGCAAGTAGCTGTGGTTTGTTCGTATTAATGTCCCCTACGTGCTTTATTTCATACAGCTCGTATACAAGGTCCTTATCGTGGGACTTGGGCACGCGTAAAAATACTGCATAATCATTACCGACGTGAAGGAAACCTCTCAGATTGTGTTCCGACTTGAAGCCGTCGATAAATTGAAACAGCTTATGGAGACGCACAGCAAAGACGTTCTCCAAGAGAAATAAACTGATAGCCATACATTTCTGTAAAATGAAATCACAACTTCAAAATGCATACTTAAGAAATTATGAGATATTTCGAAATTCGGAGTGCATACAAACCCAAATCATGACTTGTTCACCTCGTACAAAACTTTTTCGCTATATAATTTTCAACAAATGTTACCGTATCGGGAAAGCAATAAACAATCGTTAACATTGGAAGCAAACTAATATTTACAATTTACATAAAATATTACACTATGCTTTAAATTCGTAATAAATTTTAAATTTTACTGCAATAGTTTTTGCGATAATAATAACTGAAATAGTGCAAGCTACTTGGACATTATTCGGTGTATATAAATTTTGAGTGAAATTTTATGCCACAAATAAATTCATCTCTCGCTTTTATTTACAAATTCATATAAACTATTATTGACAACTCTGGATGGCATAGTAGTGTATGAGTTTATGCAGTGTATATTATATGTGTTTATAGTAGTGTATATTTTTAGCATATAATAGTAATTCTCGTAGACGTTGGATAATTATTATAAAAGTTATATTAATGTAAAGTAGCTGAAAGGAAAATAACAAACTTTTATACGAGAAAAAAAACCGGGTCAAATGCGAGTCAAACTCGTGCGCCTAGGATTCCGTACCTTCCCATTATACTTCCCCGCCATAGTAAAATTGGTAAATAAACACGCCCTATTTTCGCAGAAACGGGTGGACCTGGTACGTTTAAAGTTATACCAGGTTCTGAGGTCTATAGTGGTAGGTGGTCAATATTAGGTGTATAAAAATCAAGGTCCTGAGGCAACACGATAAAAAGGAATGGGCAAATTTAAATTTTCGTGAAAACTTGTAAGTAGAGTACCAAAATTTATGTTGATTTTCAACTTTTTTATTTTTCGGAATCTTTTCTTTATTTGTCCTGTAAGACCTTGATTTTTACCAAATATCGTGATTCTAGGTCAAAAGGAACTACCATATAGGTTTTTGACCAAAAAACTACAGGGTACTACAGGTTGACCTAGAATTGTCAATTTTGTTTTGGCAAATGTCTTGTCACATACACATTTATATAAAATGTTTACAAATATAATATACAAATGTTCTACGTTCGGAATGCATCTTCATTCCTTTACAACTATCAAGATTTGAAAAGCAGAAAAAGTTAAAATTGTAACTATATATTTTATATAGAAATTAATTTGAGAATTCTAAAAAAACACATACTTCCTAGGGTTAATTTTTCTGTTAGTCTTACGTGATCTGTGACAAACAACACCTAGAAATTGTCAAGAGATTAAGTGACCGAGTGAAACCACCCACAGTGCAGCGAGTACCAGCTGTTTTGCCATATGTTAGAGAATTCCCGATAAGATTGGCTGCAACCTCAAGTAGGGTTCGCGAAATTTACATTATATACGCGGCTAAAGGTTATTAGTCATTTCTTCCAAATGCAACATGCCTCTTTAATATCATAGAGGAAAAATAAAAGAAAAATATTTTGCTTTTCCTATATAATATTGAATCATTATTGTCAGCATAAATCGGACAGAAAATTAAAATCTGATGGTAGCCAAGGTTGAAATGTAGTATTGACATCTGACACCTCAATCTTCCGTGTGACTATGAATGCTACAAGGCATTTGTAGCTTTAGGAATTTTGTTTTAATATAAACACGATGATAATATAATATCGGACGTCCCCCTGCCAGGTGGACCAACGACCTGAGAAAGGTCGCTGGTAGTGGCTGGATGAGGAAAGCGGAAGATCGTACTCTGTGGCGTACTCTTGGGGAGACCTATGTCCAGCAGTGGACTGCAAAAGGCTGATTGGATGGATTGGATGGATGGATGGATAAACACGACCATTTGCATCTCTATCTTTCTCACAGACTAGTATCGATTTCTACAGTTATATATTCCTGTTAGTATAGTACCTACAGTTATATATAAACATGATTAACGGAGACTTGTTAGTTTAAACCGTCCGTATTAAACGGTTTAAATAGAGACTCAGTAAATATTGTTAGATATTTAACTCAGGTCATAAGTAATAAGGAATAGAAACACTAAGAAATATTTTTTTTATTCCAACCTAGATAAACAATATCGTTTGAAGAATTGTCAATATTAGAAGCTGTGAACGATGCCCATAACAGAAGATACAAAATAGGGAGATTAGGTAACAGTACATATTTAGATTTTTGGTGAACTTAAACGACATTTGAATAAAATTAGCGAATCACGGGTAAACATTCCGTTATATTATCTTGTGATCAATCCTCCTTGAATCCTTATGGTTTGATTGATGATGTGATGTTGCCGGATGTGAGGTGTCAGCTCATTGTGTACTTTGTGATTGATTACAGTCCAAGTCGTGCAAGCAACCTGCGCAAAGGAGATGTCCTTTGCGCATTTTTACTTAGTTTACTCGTAGACTTGAAAACCACAAAGTAAGTGACCATATTATACGTATTCTACATACATTTACTGTCTCCTGGATTGTATTTGCATTTCAATTAAAATGAAATACGTTAACTCGATTTCCAAGACAGTATTATATCTTAACTTTGGAATTGCCGCATGGATTTACATCTCTCCTTCGTTTAATTAATCTTATTCATGCTCACTACACTTAATCAGGCCTTGATTACTTCGCATTTGCCTATTTGCTAAACTAATAATAGATTTGATTGTTTTAGGATAAACCGCTTTTATGACACGTGTATTTAATAATAATACTTGCTCATGCCTAGAATGTAATATGTGCCTCGTAATATACATACAATCTTGTAGAAAAAGAATGAAAAAACACTCTTTGTCTTTGATTTTATCCAAATTGTAATTAATCAATCAGTATTTAATATATTTTAAAAGTACACTAATATATTATATTTTTTATTTCTATCGAAAAATTTTTGCAAGACTCAACAATTTCTTACAGACTTGTCTTAAAGATTAACTTATGACTTTCTGCTGCTTCTTTGTTATTATATATATAATAGTTTGCCTCAAAATTTTGACATCACATAGTGCAAAATAATGTTGTCTCCCCGAACTTACTATTTGCGTAGAAAAGTGGAAGGCATCCGTTAATATCATGAACAACATATGCTGAATGAATGAATGGATATTATAATAATTTTGCTACCCAATAAAAAAATAAACAGATATGAAAAACTTTATGTTGGGTAGAATGGGCGGCCTTATTACTAAGAGTAATTTCTTCCAAGCATCCTGTCTGTTGTTATCTTAACCAATCTTAATTGGATAATTATATTTTATCAGTTATATAACATGTTTGAAATCTTGTATATCACTATTAAGGTAGGTACTATTTTCGCAAATTTTTACGCAAAACCGAAAAATATCGGACCAGACTAATAAGTTTACTGTACGTTTTCCAAAACAGCTCTTTCATAATGTTTTCGCATACTTTTTCGAACCGTACTAGTTATTAATAGTCTCAAATATTTGTAACTTGTTTATAATTTGTTTTGATTTGTTTGTAATTTTGCTTGACCTGAAGCTACATCGTCTTACTACACTTGATAAACTTTAACCTGGTTGTCACTTGGATAACTTATAAGACACTAGTAAAACCATAGCTTTACCCGGTCAACATGAGTTAGATGTATTTTTATTTTATTTAAACATTCTCTTACCTCTTAGCTTAGATAGTAAAGTGACTGGGCGCGAAACCAGAAGCCGCAAGTACGAATCCCGCAGTGCCGATAGCTTTTTTTGTCTCTAAACATTTAAAATTTAAAATTTACCGTCTTAAAATAATTAATGGTTACGACTGAGTAGCTTTAACTAAGTAGTTAATGCACTCAGCGCTAAAAAAATTACGTATTGATTGAAAGGTGACAGAATTTAGACAAAAGTGATCAATAGAGGGGATCAAAATATTATTGCAGCGCATATTTTATAGGCTATTACACTTACAAGTAAACATTATTGCAATATGCACCTTCTACACTCATCATGTGTTTACATTCACGTTTGTAATTGAAATGAAATGAAATGAAATGAAATGAAATGAAATGAAATGAAATGAAATGAAATGAAATGAAATGAAATGAAATGAAATGAAATACGCTTTATTGTACACCAGACAAAATTACAAAGTAACAAACAACTACATAAACGTACAAATGGCGGCCTTATCGCTTAGAAGCGATTTCTTCCAGCCATCCATGTTACTGAGGATACAATGATCAGTGAGAAGAGTTTGAGGTATATGCTATTGTAAATATAGGTATTATAGATACATGTACACAACACTACTATACACAAATAAATTAATAAAATAAATAAATAAATATATACATATGAATAAATACACATATATTTATATATAAAATATAAACAGAAGGGGAATTTATTTTTAAATAAATTATGAGTAAAAAAAAAGAAAAAATCATAATATAGACATAAGATGTTCAGGGAGGAAAAAAGATTGCGCTCGCCGGATTTGAAGCGGTAAGGAGTTCCAAAGCCTAACCGCTTCGACCGAAAAGGATTTGGAGTAGAAGGAAGTATTATGGGAGGGAATTTTTAAGGTCAGGTTATTATCGGAGCGAAGAGAGTGACAGTGATTGTTACTGAGGAACTCAAATCTCTCTTTAAGATAAGGAGGGGAAGTAGGATTGAATAGAATACAGTATAAAAGAGAAAGAATGTGGGTATTCCTGCGGAGGCGGATCGGTAGCCACTTGAGTTTTTCGCGATGTTCGGAAACATGGTCATATTTTCGGAGTCCAAATATGAACCGTATACAAAGATTTTGAATGCGCTCAAGTTTATTAAGTAAGTCCTCATTAAGATTCGAATAGCATGATCCAGCATAATCGAGAATCGGTAATAGGAGTGTTTGTGCAAGTGTAATTTTAGTTAGTATGGGTAGGAAATTACCTAATCTACGGAGAGATCCGACCGATGCAAACAATCTCCTACTCATCTCGATCACATGTGGGGCCCAAGATAAAAACTTCTCAAATGTAACGCCGAGATTTTTAACGGTGTCACTGTAAGGCACACAAGTCCCATAAAGCAGGATGTTAGGTAAAGTAGATAAGTCAATACGAATACATCAGAAGTCATGAAAATGTCAAAATATATGTTAGGAAATAACTTCTTTTATTTGCGCAAATACTAAAAATTTTAATAAAACTAACTTATTTATATAATTATAAGAGGATTGACTTATCATTTCAGTTAACAAGAAAATGTTTTATTCATGCTATCGGGAATCAGTGCTTGTTTGCTTGAATCGATATTTATCGTTATTGCTTCCATTTCACGAAAATCTTCTTATCCTGGTGGTCAATATGTGAATCGCCTCTGTGCTACAATATTAACATGTCTGAATACACAATTATTGAACGGTGGTTTCTCGTTGATTGCATTGAGTTAGCAATACATATCTAAATACACCGGAATACAATAAAATTCAAATGCTGATTTTTTTTTATGTGAAAAGTTGCCAAACGAGCAGACGTTTCACCTGATGGAAGGAAATACCGCCGCCCATGGACATCTCTTACACCCGAGGGTTACAGATGCGTTAACAACCTTTTGAAAGCGGGCTCCGGCTACCTCACTCACCTGATGAAACGCGAAAGTATTTGTCATACTTCCACTTTACGGTGGTCTTCTGTGAGGTCGTGGTACTTACCCGGACGGTCCTGCCCATTCGTGCAACAGCCGAGGCTGCTGCGTGGCCCTACCACCGTACAAATTGATTTGAACATCAAAATATCTTAAAGTAAATTCAACGGCAAAGTGGCTTCAACTATTTGATCCAAGTTAAAAACGTAAAACAACAGCGATCTCTTAACCGTATTTGAGACATTCTATATGTAGAGTGATGTAAACGTCACCAACAATTATCCTTTACAAATTAATATGTAATTTTCAAATTTATGTTTAGTTCATGCTGCTGTTGATTTATTTAAAAGTAGACCAATATATTTACCGACGTAATCCTTTGCTGATTTAGATGAAATGTTAGGGTAAAAAGTTTGGTTAGCCTTGACAAATACAAATCGTTTTCTGTATTTTGGGCACGTCTGCGAATTTCTTTTGCTACTTTAATATACGTGTTACGAAGAAGTTTCCACTACACCTTAAGTTTAAATGAATTCATATTGAGAGTAAGGTTGGGAAAAATCGATTGTTGTACTTAATAATAGGTGTTTTTAGGTGATACTTCTTTTGGCGCGTTTGGAAGAGAAATAATTTAAATAATTTTTTTACGATGTGCGCACACACCGACTGCTAAAAAGCGACACGGTGAAGTTGATTGAAGAGCGACCACCGTCACGTTATTACCATGGCAACTATAAACGACGTTTTGACATTTACCTATAATTCCACGATATTTTATTAAGCCTTAATCAATTGCATTTAATGTTTCTTACACAAACAAAGAGTACACGGGGGATAATATTTTTAGTTATTTTTATTTTGTTATGCTCTAGAGGTACAACTTCCACCATCCCCATTAACCACCATCGGACATCGCGTCAAAATCAGAAACTTCATCCACAGCACCTCGGTGTCCGTCGTTCCACAACAGCGATTTACAAGGAATTTTCTGCCTCACACAACCATGCCATGTGGAACCAGCTACTGTTTATATTTTTATGTTCCAATTCATTAATTGCGCGAAAATAATCAAAGAGAAGTCTTTATTATTTTTAATTCAAAATAAAAGAAATATCTAATTGAGAGGAAAACGGCGTTTTTCATATTAGTGACATTGACTTGTAACTATTTGGAACAGTCGCATAAAACAGTTTGATTTCATACTAGCTAACATCCGTGACTCCGTCTGTGGTGCTTTTATTATTATTGATTTACTGAGTTAGAAAATACAATTGACTAGACACGTAATGCTTATAAAAATCATCGTTTACTAAAAACTAAAAAAACTAACTATTTTTAGATAAGAGCCAAGTGCCTAAGCAATAAAGCTTAGAAGAATTAATTGAAATCTATCCAGTAGTTTACCCATAGACTTAATAGGCGCATGTGCTCATGCGTGCGTTATGTAATGAGCGGAGTCCAAGGTCGAGTCGAGGCGCCTAAGGCCCATCGAGGTTCGGTTCCGACTGTGATACCAATGGCCGTTGACTGTACTTGCTTCATCAGCGAGAACCGCCCTGGAACGCAGGGTTACCTATTGTGCGTTGTATTGGTTTCGCCAAGCGCGTATGCTAGGACGAACTACGTTGTTACGTTTGGAGTCCATTTAAAATGAGCTGTTCGTAGAGCTTCGACAAGTAATGGTGGGCAAATAATGGGCTGATTACCAAGACTTTCTATAGTTTAGTGTATACTGATAACTTTGTGAACTGATAACATTTGATGTTTTCAGTCAACATTTTTTTCAATGTCAAATAGGCGTGTCGGGTGATTTTTCTTCTATAATAATTATGATTCAGTTACGTTTCTTTATCGTTCAAAAATACTTGAAAAGAAAATGTTCCTTTTCTATACTGATACATTTTTATTGATGAAATCAGGGGCAAAAATTATGTAACATCTATATTGTGCACAATATCAGTATACTTCGTATGTTGGTTCTAACAAAGACCAACTCTAACGTCAACGAAGTGCTAAAGCTAATCTAATTCTAAGAATTAAGAACTTCCTGAGCGTAGACCTCACTATGAAATTTGACTCTAAGTTTAATGAGCGTTCTAAATTATATTTTTTTCTTGAGTTAATAATATGTATAATACAAACGAATATGAAATTGTGACATACTAATCTAAAAATTTGTTCCAGTAACATGACCAAGAATTTTTTCAATAAAACATTTATTTTCGTTAATCACTTTTTTATTTTTAAATGGTTTTAATTTTTTTAATTATAATGACTTTAGTCGGCTTTTCTATAGCTGTTGAGTAAACTATTAATAATTAAAAATATTTTACTACTCTTAGTTCGATTTTTTATTAGAGCGTTTTTCTATCAATAATTATTATTATATGATAAGATCTGGGCAGAAAAGTTTTTTAGTACCCCAATTTTCATCTTTTAAATAAAAGTAAATATTTACATTAATTAAAAGTCTACGGCATCAATATATAATCAACATATTTACAAACACTCACGGCACATTGACGAAGAAAAATTAGGGATATATTGTAAACAACATCGCAGACTATTTCTCACGGTTCCCCATAGACTAATAAACGAAATTCATGTGGTTCCGAAAATTATTTGCTCTGTTGATCATTTTCTCATAAACAAAATCCTCCTTTTATTGCATCCATTATTTGGCCTTTATAGAAATCGTAAATCCATAATGGATTTTCGCTGTTTCATTCAGAACGTACGTCCCGCTGAGGAAAATTAACGATGTCACCATACAACATTTTTATACGGACTCCGTACATAAGAAAAAAATTAAATAAAAGGATCGTTGTTTGCAAATAAATTTGAGATTTACACCATTAGTAAGTGTCATAATTACATAATTCATACAGAGCTAAGCTGCAATAGTAGCGTATAAGCTATATATCTAAATTTGCGATTTTTTTTTTTTCACAAAAACGTAAATCTAAGTCTTATATGATACGTATGTCAGCTACATTGGATATAAAAATACTTACTTATGGGCATTTATTTAGTTACAAAAATTACTATTATTATTACAGTTATTTAGATCTCATCAAAGAGTATTTATATTTAACTTATAACAAAAATATTAATATTTCACAAGTAGCCTTTTTAATACGACTACGTATTTTAATTACAATGCAATAAATAATAGGCAAATAACTCTTCAAAAACAGTTTTTTTACCCTTTCATTTGCTTTATAAGCCAGCACGATAAAAAGAATAATATAGTTTCTAAAGCAAACAATGACATCAAAATTTTCCATTGAGTAATGATATAATTAAAAACTTTTTACTTGCTATGATAAACATTTTAACAACAATATTCATTGGAGTTCTTGTCTATGCCTCCTAAAACTTTTTGTCAGCCGTAAAAGAACTGTGAATTGGAATAACCTCGTAAGCTTTTTGGACTCACTATTATGTCAGTATCAACTCTTTTGTCATTGCTAAATATACTCGTTCCCATATCCCTCGATTGTGACGGTACGAAATCTACATTTCCGTACATACTTGATCCGGCAATCGGATAAACTGTGGATAACGGTCGCATTGGCCTTAGGGTTGACGTTCCCGGTACATCTTTATAGAGTATCATATCGGGGTGGCCTGGGTCATAAAACGTCCCCGAAATATGACTCACGTCCACATCATTGTCAATATCAGAGAGGCCATCGCCGAATATGTTCGGAGTTTCAGTGGTGAACATATCACTGGTTTTCTTACTTTTTTTTGTTCGCTTCACAATTAAACACCGTACTCCTGTTATAATCGTTACCAAAAAAAGAAATACTATAACACAGACGGTGATGTACATTAATAAGCTTGATGTCCAATTATATGTTTCTGTGCTAATTTTTTCAGCATATTTCTTTTTGTTACTAATTGTTGTTACGTCAAATGTCGGTTGATGATCGCTACCACGCGGTGACGCTGGGTTAGTAAATGGGGGAGCTGCATTTGACTCTACCCATTTTGCTCCTGCTGCGTCTGAAAATATTACTATATTTTATCACACAATAACTAAAAAGTAGTCTTTGTTTAAAACCTCTACGATGAAGTCATCATCATCATCCTCTTGCCCTAATCCCACGTTTTTTCCCCACCATGTTTTTTACGACCGGCCGCTAGCCTGACGTCAACCCTCCTTAGGAAACAAACACCCAGATCCGGAACAATTATTTTAACCGTGGATTACACAAATACTTATCCCATGTGGGAATGGAACCTTCTATGTAAAAATCGAAGCTTCTACAAAAAAGTAATAAGTGTAAGCTAAACAAACTAAAATATTAAACATGAATATGAAAGGAGTTTAAAGTGAGTGCGACTTGTACTTAGAAACTTTAACAAGGGTCTTATCTTAGGGTGCGTTCCAAAATATCCATGGTTGCACTGCAGTTTCATCGATGATCATGAAAGTTAACTCCATCAAAAAATTTCCTCAAAACAGAAAATGTGCTAAATTCTCACAGTAAACTAAACTCATTATTAACTACTAGCTGCTGCCCGCGACTACGTCTGCGTAGAATAGGCTGAAGGCGTAACATTCAGACAGAAAGACAGATATACATAAAATACGACGACCCGAATGGCGTAGTGGTTAGTGTACCTGCCTCCGGCGCCAGAGGGTGTGGGTTCGATCCCCACTACTGGAAAAATATTGTGTGATGAACATGGTGTTTTTCTAGTGTCTGGGTGTTTCTATATGTATAATATGTATTTATTTACAAAAGAAAAGTATGTTTAACTATGTTTATCAGTTTTCTAGTACCCATAGTACAAGCTTTGCTTAGTTTGGGACTAGAAAATGTTGTGTACAAATGTGTCCTAAATATTTATTTATTTATTTATTTATTTATTTATAATATGTATATAAATTATAGCCTATGTCTTATTCTGATATATAAGCTATATAAAGCTATATAAAGTAAAGTTTCATTAAAATCCATTCAGTAGTATTTGCGTGAAAGAGTAACAAACATCCATTCATACATACAAACTTTCGCGTTTATAATATTAGTAAGGATAAGTCCTTACTTATCGAAAAACAGTACAAAGATAAAAAATCAATGACATAGTACTGATGCATTAACATCTTGGTAAAGAACAAATTATTTAAACCTAAGAAACGTATTTGTATCTAGCCTATACAGTTATAAACTTCACCTGTACATACCGTTATCATCAAAAAGAGTGTCACTAAGCTTTGATTCGGAACGGAAAGTCGTAAGTTCATCTTTTTCTGCAACACTCTCATATTTTTCCATGAGGACTCCCAAAGGCACTGTAACAGGTTTTTGTAACACTTATAAAATATATTTTTATTTGATGTAAATAAATTACTTATTATATTTTAAGAAATACTGTAGGTATATGAAAATCTTTTATGAGTCACACTTAACAAATAAATAAAAAGAACCTTTATACATAAAAATAACAAAGTAATTGTAACCAACTTCAAGTTCATAAACATTTTTTTTTTTAATTTAGAAATATATTGCCCTCTAGCGTTACGAAATCTGACGAGATAAAATCAATACCTCACCGAAGTCTTCGTTTTTCTAACTTTAGAGCACGCATGTAACTTAAATATGTTACCGAACGATTTCAATCAGACTGCTTTGTGTATAGTGTGATATATAATCATAATATAAGCAAAGAAAAGTAGAGCATCCGCATAAATTCTGTGTTGAATAATTAAAGTTCTGTTTGCACTCATACTACCTTAATTATTTCATCCACTTAATTTCACCTGTTATTGTTCTTATTGTAAGTAGTGAAAACCGTAAACAATGGATGAGGACATGACTGACTAAACAGGATAAATTAAATTAGATTAATTAAAAGAAAACGCAATGATAAGATAAAGTGTACTCACCACATCCATAAATAATCTTGAGATAAGTTTTCGAATCGGCCTTACACGGAGTGCCAAATGTGTTATGATTAACAACTATTTGGCATCGACGTTTACCATGACATATCTGCATAACTGTTTCAGCTGAAAACGAAGCTGTACATGCTGCAAATGAAAGTAATCTATCGTACAGACACGGTTTTGATTTTCCAAATTTTGTTATTCACTTCAATCGTGCTTTAATTTTGTCTTGATTTTTTCTTCATTCTAATATTCTATCACGACTAGACTATGTGACAGGCTTGTCTTAGGTAATTTCTTTGTTTTAAGCAAACTTTTTTCAATCTATAACCAAAAGTACTTTTATCTATACTGTCCAGTCACTCACAAAGGAATATTGTGTACTGTTTATGCACTAAGTTTCTTTATTTAATAAACCTTCGTGAAGGTAATGAATGTTTTTATTATTATCTCAAATTGTCATTACAATAGTTTCCTTTACGCCGACCACGTGATAGATACGCGTTTAAAATTAAAACTTGCCACTGCTTTAATGTGTCCAAAAGCACTTGGCTGACGATATCTCATGTTTTAGAAGATTTTATCATTTTCTGTGTGGAAAACTGGTTAACAACTACTGCGCATAATAAGTGATAAAAACTGGTGATACTCATAAAACTGTGAGACGTAAACATCTATTAACTTACTCTCGTTAGCAACTCCCACGGTTTGGGGACATGTATTTGACTCATAAGCTGTCCGCCCGTACTGTGCGTTGAAAATTGCTATTCTAGAATGTGGACTGCAGCTGAGTTTTATTATATCGTTTTCACATCCAGTTCGACTTCTGAACTCATCTGCACAGATAAAAAATAAATGTAAATTTACAAAAGTTTGTCATGAATAAATAGTTTCTTAATATATTAATTGATATACAACTGTTAGTTGCTTAAACCTGTTCGTAATTAATTATCAATAATCAATATGATTTTACAATAAAGGAAAATAACGTCTAAAAGTTTTTTTTTTTTTAAAGTTTTTATAAGTAGGGTCTCAATTTTATTCAATGCAAGTGAAAGTATTCTAATTTAAAAGTATTGTTTACGATAATGAATATAATTTTGTGAAGTCCTCTCATAGATTAATTTTAGTTATTTAGGAATATTTAATGTTGTAAATGTTGGATAATGAAGAAGTGAATGTATTAGCGACTATTTTAACTTTGTTCTAAAAATTGTTCTACTTTACTTAACACTATGCATGTATAAGTAAACGTGACAGATGATACAGAATGTATGATTTGGAAAGAGATAGCAGTCTATAGTATATAGTTGCATTTGACGTACACTAGCAATAGATAGAATCGTACCGAACAGAAGAAAAATTACACCAATTGCCGTAATTTGAAAGCCTCAATTCGGCACGCTAGTATAATACCTACCTCTTATTTGTATATTACATCATTCATTACTTGTATTAAAATTAGTAATCTCTTCAATCCCATTTTATTTTTGTATTACAACAATAAAAATTATTAGAACTTCAGGTTTTTCTCAATAGCTAAAACCTGCCCTATATACAGCAACAGTGCCCAGCAATTAGTTAAGAAAATTATCAAGGATATTTGCTACCAAATACCTATGTTTTTAATAATTTAAATTAATACAAAAAATAATATCCCTCCTGATTTCTTATTCTAGGCTATCACAGCTGCGATGGAAATGCAAAAAGCTTCGTTGTACAGTGAATAGTTACTGCGACGTCGACGACGTTAAACATGCTAGTCTGAACTCGTTGTACTAATAGGGCCGCGCCTAGTCCACGCCCGTACTACCGCACCCGTGTACCGTCGGGGCAGCGACCCAACTAGGAATTTAATAAAGCCACATAAATCACATCGATACACTTACCTGCGGCCCCCGTAAAAAACCCCGTCCGTACTACGATTAGTGAATTCACTTCCACCCTCTTTTGTTTCGGTTAAGGGAATATAGCGGCAGTTCCGGCCCCGCCGTCATTATGCAAGTCGAACTCTCGTTAATAAATTGTCAGTTGGAATTTTTTTTTGGTTTGTAGCAAGTATTAGGTACAAAGAGGACTGGCTACAATTATTACATTTTATCAAGAGTGGATTTAGTTGAGTAAATGTTAACTATTCACCGCTATTATTGAGTTTATTGATTGGAAATATTAAATTCGGATAAAAAAATTAAAGCATCGTCGAAAAATTAAAGCATGGTGGTTTTAATCCTTAATCTACTTATCGTTTATCTACTTAAATAAATTCTTATTTCAGCTCTTATTTCTTCTTATTTCAGCTCATGTACGTAAAACACCGAGAAACCGCTTATTATAAAATAAGCGGTATTCGCGCGCCTGGCTCTGTCGGGTTCTAAATTGTTTTAGTGTTATAGCTAGTATAATTTTCTAGGTAATCATTATTTTTTTATTAATCTCCTCTCCTGTCTCTTTAGGACTGTTTAGATATTTTTGGATGTATGTGAAACCTTTTTTTTATTTAAAATCTACCCAATATATGAGTACGGAGCTCCCTACTCATATAAAAACTCAGCTTAAGTGATTATTGTAAGCCATGGACATCTATATATGTGGGTCTGAAGATGTGTTACCGATGTTTAAAACAACCCAGGTACCAAACTTGTGAGACGAAACACAAAAACTATGACCCTGCTACTTCAAGCACAGCCAAAACCTCTGGTATTATAAATACGAAATGTTGGTAATAGGTGAACTATATTTTGTAGTTATGTTTTAATATAAAGTGTAATTTTCATAGTGATAATCATGATTAAATCATGGTTAGGTGATAAAGGAAAATTTTATTTTTGCCATTTGGTTTAGAAATAAAGAACTGTTAATCAGGAACACTTGAATACCTTTTATCTGTCTAATTAATATTTAACAATTATAAAAACATACAATACTATGAAACGTTATAACAACACTTACATGGGCGACATTTGTATGCTACTTCGACAAATTTTCTTGACAGTGGGCAAGGGTCCACTGAGCCAGAACTCGACTTCGTGCTGAATTTACATTGAGGCTTCTTTCGACATGCTTCCACAACAGTTTTTAGAAGCGAATACTGCAACATTATGTTCAAAAAGACATAAAATAATTGCCCATTACATAATTATTATTTATATATGCATATAAAATCGATTAATACAATTTATTTGTTATATTTCTGTGTCGTACCTGCATAGCATTAGGCCACAAACATTTCTCCTCACCGACAATTTCAACCGCTTCTTCACGGGAGTTTGAGCCCTCGACCACGCAACTATAACCTTTAGGGGCGGCCTTGCCATATTGAGCCACTTGGATGCTTATTAAGGTTCCCTTTGGACAGGCTAACGAGACCGTTTCGTTGTCACAAGCCGCGCGCTGCATAGTCTTCAATGTGCTGGCCAGCAGCGCTAAATGAAAATTCGCACTGGTAAGAAACAGTTTTGTCAAAACAAAATACAATCTTCACTCTATCAATCGTGAAGAACGCAAAAGATCTTAATTCCAACCCTCTGAAATGAAGGTTATTTTTAATATCAATAATTTCATAGAAAAATAACGGGGATAATAATGAAGAAACACAAAGAAGTTTTCTTTTTCGGTTTTGTTTACAATGGTCCTATAAAACCACTTATATTTTAATACGTTAAAAATTAAACGCTTTGAGACCAGTTTTAACTTATCCATTTCGTTTTATAAAACTTATTTAAAATTTTAATTTTAAGGTGTTTGTCGCTAAGCGAAATTTCAATGGATATTATGTCTAGAATATTTTCTATGCTTAGGTAGAAAAAGGTGTCTTTATTGAGGTATACTATTTTACTTTAATGACCTTACTTATTAATACTAAACCTGAGTACACAACATTACAAAATATAAATAGCTAATACATATATAAAATGTTGAGATTTTATGTATAAATGGAAAGTTGTATAATAAGATGTATATAATAAGATATCATATAACATTTATAATCATAGTTATATAGCAACACTCTTTTCTCTCATTAAAAATATATTGTTACATATTAGGGCCTATGGGATGGACGTCGCCCACACAGTCATGAACTAATTAAATGAACCAAGACAACAGCTAATTTAGCTTTATTAGGAGTGCCGTATGCCACGTATATAAACATACGTTGGAGACGGTGAACAATAGGCAAATGTTAAAATTAGGTACATTTACAGAGAAATTGTTTATATTTGATTGAGATTAGATTGATAAAAATTCTGAAATAGTTCTCGATCCGTATATATCCCCAAAAAAGAGCTAATTAATATAAGCATTCAAGAAAGAATATTGTAAAACGAATGAGTTATTCTTAATTTGCTAAAATCATTAAGCAGCATGTCTATTATAGTAACATAAAACGTGGTAAGTTCTAGGTATAATGTTCATTGTCCAAGGCACTCATCCTTGGAAAATAAACTAAACTAAAGTTACTACATAAACTAAACTAAAGATATTATAGATCCGTGCATTCTTATAAAAGGCTGTGCGTGCGTGTCATATTTTTTAATCATAACTGGAACCTACCTAGGTTATCTGGATTCATGTATGAAGGCCTCGGCAAAATCAGGCAGGCAAATATTAAAAATGAATTTTCGAACATTTTCCTCTCTTATTTTATGTCCAAATCAGAACTTAGTCACTGCTTCTAATGTAAATATTTGCATCAAAGGATCTAGCGATGTATTTAATTCATGCGAGTGATTAAAATAATACGACTTTTTATCTGGTATTATTACGATTAAAAACAAACGAGACATAACAGTGTTCATAATACATAATGGAACAAAGCTATCGTTCACGATCGGCACGCAATTACCGTGAGTTTGCAAATGTTAATTGGCTGAGGTGTGTGCGCAGGCGGCACCCCCTTCACATTTGTCTACTTTGTCGCGTGGAAATATTTATGTGTTTGGTACGGACGTGTGGCCATTGTAACTCCGGACGTAAGACTGACGCGAGCCGGCGGCTTAACGCCCCACGTCAGTTGGTCACAAGTCACGCTGCGCCCATCAATTTCACGTGACGTTTCAATGAGAACCTCCCACCCCCGCGGGTGAATTAGGGACCGCGTCGGTGGTTAAAAATAAAAAAAAAATCCTGCCAATCCTCAAAATGTTTTAGGCCAAGGCTACTGGATCGAGCTTGCAATTAATAGTTTTACACAAACGTGGGACTATTAAATAAGGTTTTTTAACTATATCAAATACTAGCGACCCGCAAGAGCTTCGCATGGGTGCAATGTATTATACATATAAACCTTCCTCTTGAATAACCTAGTAAAAAAACCGCATCAAGATTCGTTGCGTAGTTAAGCATACATAGGGACAGACAGACAGCGGGATGACTTTGTTTCATTCATACTATGTAGTGATTTGAACTGTAACAATTTATTCAAATAATGAGGATTTTGTTTTCGACGTTTTTAGTTTTTTTCATTGGGTAATGTCGAGAACATCTCTCTCAATCGGTTATCGGCTCTACGGGCTATATGGCCGGCACATTACCACTTCAGTTTATTAATCTTCTGAGCTTTGTCGGTTATCTTTGTTCTACTGCGGAAGTCTTCGTTACGAACTTTTTCACACAGCATTGCTCGCTGAAGGTTAGAACGGTTCTTGAGTGACAGCCTTGTATTAGCCATTACAGTGTTGGACTATAGACCCTACTAGGTAGAGTGAGTACCTGTGCAAACGTGCGGGAAGTCAATGGGTGCAGATGGCTCAGGATTATGCTTCGTGACAGTCTGTGCGGAATGTCTATGTTCAGCAGGGGACCCTAATAGGGTGAAATGATGATGACTGGAATTTTTCTTTAAATGACATTCATTTAATACTTATTATTGTTTTATAACTATAAATATTGACTTTAGCTTGTTATTGACTTGTATCAGTCGCACTGGTGTGTTACTTTATGTGGGTTGTTCCAAAGCTCTATAAGAGTTAAAAGATATTTAACATAATTTCGGTTACATGTAAAGAAAGAACATTCTTAAGGGACAAACTTTGTATTAGATAAATATTCTATATTTGCTCATGTAATATTAAGTTATTTTTTATGAATTTTAATAATTCTAATTTTCTAAAAAAAAATAAAAATAAGGATATAGAAATATGAAAATAAAACTTTTCGGTTTCTTGAATTACTTATTAAATGTTTTCTGCGTTTGACATATTTACAAAATATCATTATTTTTAACGAATTGAACAATAGAAAATCCAATTTTGTTTTAAAACGTCAGCACAAAGAAAATTCTTTACACAATTAGGTTGTGCGGCTTATTGTTCTATGTATCAAGTTTGTGAAGGAAATATTTTTTGGATATTTGATTCTTACATAATTCTTACTCGAGTTGAATATAAAACAAGTACATTTTTCTACCCAAAAATAAAAAAAAAATCTTCAAATATCTTAGTCAGTATACATTTTATATTCGAATTTGAAGAGTTCCCTGATTCTCTATAATCCAAAGTCCAATACATATTATAAAAATTAATTTTGCATCGGGTTCGGTTTTGTTTTGTTTATCGTTGGCTGGAGTAACTGAGTTTTGAAGTAACAAACAAAAAATACCCCCTTTTTTCATTCGGTTGAAGTTTTCTTTAGGCTCGTGAATGACGAAAAGTGGAAAATAATGAAGAAAATCATTTATTTATAGCCAAATACGTCCAATCGTTTTATCTCCTAATTATAATTATAATCATAATATATGTTCCATGCTTGCATATAAACATATGCTGTAAAAATTTCATGAAACTACTTTTTGCGAAATTATCGCATTTATTTCAATCATCGTCCATTTAATAAAGTGTAGTGTTCACCTAAATATAAATACATAGATACAATGCATTGATCAATAAAAATGAAGGCAAGCCCAGTTATAATGGTAAGCCAATCAGAGAGGGTTAATGGAAATTAGTTGGGTTCCGCGTTTGACCAAAGCGAAAGAAGTTTCATTATTTACAGATAAATTATTAACTTCTTTAAAAATATACAAAGAATTAGACACAGCGAAAAATAAGTTTTATTTGGAACTAATTCAGTTGTTTGGACTCGACTTAGGAACAAACAAGTTAAGTACGAGTATATATATGTATTTTTATAAAGAAAGTATGTATATAACTTTCATATTTTCACGTATTCTTATTGGGAGTGGGGATGGTATATTAGTATTAAAAATTGGTTAAATATATATTTTTTACTATAAAATTAGACTCTCTATTGACGCACCAAAATCGAGTGCATTTTTAAATTGTATACAGAAAATATTTCAAATTTATTTATTGTGCATCCATACCCAGTCACCACACCTTGTCTGTTGGTGCCACTACTTTATTATTCTTTGTCTGTTTGCGAACTACGTGGTGGCTTTTCACACGAAAAGGCAATGATGGGTGTGGTTTTTAATTAATTGGCCGTTTTAGTTTTTAATAGCAGGAAACAACGTTGCGAATTTCTCGTAATTGGTGATGGTTATCTTGGAAAATGTATGTTTTTATTTCACATATACCTTTTACCATTTCTCTTACTGCAATTTTTATACACAATTTAAATAACTTATTAATTACTTACAAAAAAAAGAGACGAACAAAACGCATCTCAAGCACATTTATACACAAACCTTGTGGCTGAAAAGCTAAAGACGACTGTCTAAAAACGTCGAAATATTTTAAAATAATATTTTAGTTAAAAGCACTAATCAATTTATTTATATCGTTAGTCCTTATTATAGTTGTAAAATTTACTGTTTTTGATTATAATTGTTTTTGATTAGATTGAGACGATTATTAATATAATTATTGTGTACATAAGAGGAAAAAAAAAATATTAAAGAATAACTCTATAATAAATAAATAAAACGTTTATATATTTATTAAGGTATTTTTAATTACCTATTTATAAAAAGGCTACTTAAAACTGTAACGATTAAAATGATTATTAGTGGTTAAAGCGTCTGGGCTTAATTTGGATGACGCGGGTTTGATTCCCGCAGCAGCGAAAACTTTTCGTCGTTGTTTTACCAAAATTTATGGAATATACGGTATGGTAAGGATAAAGAACGAGGAATAAATGCGGCCAATGGGAAGAATTTAAATGTACAACATTATCAGAATACAATACGAAAGAAGGTTTGTCTTCAATGAGTGAACAGTTTGGTAAATTACGCCCAAAAATCTTTAAAAAAATATAAACATCCGAATTGATACCTTCACCTGTTTAAAGTTGGTTAAAAAGAACCTAAACAAAAGAACAAGTTAAGTGATAACTCCCGCCCATGGACATTTGCATTACCCGTAGGGTAGCAGATGCGTTGCCGCCTTTTAATAAAGTGCGCCCCGGCTACCTCATTCACCAGACGAAACGCAGAAGTATGATAAAACTTCCACTTTACGCCGGTCTTTTGTGAGGTCGTGATACTTACCTGGATGGACCTGCCCATTCGTGAAACAGTGGACACCATTGCGTGTCCCTACCACAGTTTCAGCTTAAAGTTGCGAACAGAAATTATCACACAAAAAAATAATTATAAATTCCAATAGCTAAGGCGATGTCTAAATATTCAGCGTATTTGTTTATACTTCAAAAGTGTTAGCATGCTTCATATCTTGAAAATATATATGAATGCATCCAATAAACAAAAGTTACGCTTTTATCATCTGTACAATGGAGGTCTTTGCCTAACAGTCTGACTTATACTGTTTCTACAATCATGATCAGATATTGTGTAGTTTTGCAAACAGAGAAACTTATTGTTGAGAACAACAAGCTTAAGGGCTCGTCTAAGTTTGCGTATTAAAACGGTGTTTACAACTTTTAATACCTATTTAGATTAGGGCATTTGGGCTCTGTTCTATAACTGTACGAGCGTCCATCCATACTAGTTTTCTGCATTTCAGTATCGTCCCTTGATACCAGGGACATTTTTATATTTCATTTAATAACAATTTTTACTTTTATCTAACCTAAAAAGTATAAATATGGCTAAAAATTTAAAACCCTCTCAAGTATTATGAACATATGTTTATAATATACTAGCGATTATACATATAAACATTGCATTTGCATAGTTTTAAAGATCTAAGCATAAATTGTTTCAGACAGACAGCGCGACGACTTTGTTTTATACTATGTAGTGATAGTACCATATTTATTACATTTTCACACACAGTTGCACAGTTACTATATTTTAATTTTAAATCTAAAACAAAAAATTGTTAAACTTCTCGTGGATATTGAATGGATTTTGAATTAATATTATCAAAGATTTAATACAGTCAGATCTCATCATTTATTTGTTTTACGTATTTACCCTTTTTATGTTTTATCTAATAAATTTCACGAAACTTTATATATTGAACCTCCTTATATTTGCACCTTTATTAAGTTATAATTCGATATTCAAAATCCAATCATCTTTGTTTAGCGAAACACTAGAAATTATCGAATTCATAAAAATCATAATTTCCGAACATAAAATTTATTTGTGTTATTCATAACAAAATATGTTTTATGATGTTGCGTGCATTCAAACCATTATTCATTATT